AAAATATTATTTTGCTATTACGCATGTTTCTTTTATTATTTTTTTTTTATTTTTTTTGTTTGTTAAAAATAGCGCATGTTCTAATAATTTTCTTGGTTGTCATTATTTTACAGTAATTTTTATTTTAATCAAGTACCAGTATACATACATATGCAATAGTTTTGTATACGTATACATAATATACGTATGTAATTATAAATATACGTATGTAATTAAAAATTTATTATTTTTATTTTAAAATAATAAGTATAGGTATATGTATTTTGTATTACAAAAATTTATTTGCGGTTTGTATTCATTTGTAAATATTGTTATACATACTTAAATTTTAAAATAAAATACTTACAAACATAATTATGTGTAATATTTTTACAATATTATTTAATTTACTTTTTTATTATTAATCTATATATATATATATATATATATATATATATATATATATATATGTATATATGTGAATATTATCATTCGAAAATCAATCTATGCCAATATAAATTTGGGATGAATTTTAAGCAATAAAATTATAACAGTAGTGGTGTGAAAATATATACATATATTCAATATAAAGTATTATACTCTTATACTATTTTTATATCGTATATTTTTTATTTATCAGTATTAATAAAATATATACATATATGTGTATCAGTGTATGTATGTAAAAAGAAAAAAGTACTTTTTTTTTTTGGTGTACATTAGTGCATTAGTGTCAAAAATTTTGTGTCAATTTATATTTTTATTAAAAAACAAAAAGAAAAGAAAAAATAATTTTTTTTTTTATTGCAATTCAATGTTATACGTATACAAGTTTTAAAGTATATACTTGAATAATATTGCAATTAGAATAAATAGTTGCTAAATATTTATACATATGTATGTATGTTTGTAAATATATATGTCAACAATATTATTATAATTAAAGAGAGAACAAAATTAAAAGAAGGCTCTATTTTAACATAAAATATATGTATAACTGTTTTATTTTTATTATAAAATTTTCTCTTGCAATATACATACATAAATATATACATACATTTCAATATATATAATAATTGCACATACATACTCGTACAATGTATGTACACGTATATTTTGTATAATAGTTCAATATAATGAAAATCATGTTATCATATACCTAAAAGAATTAAAATAAAAAATTAGTCTTGTCAATTTTTTGTATAAAGTCACAGTCAGGTTGTTTTATTGATTGGCAAAAAAAACTTCAATCATAGTATATACAGAATTTTTTTTTCTTTTCACATGAATAAATTTGAAAAAAAAAAATCAATTTAAAATTATCAATATAAATAATTAATAATTAAATATAGAAAAAACAAATAATATAATAAATTAAAGTAAACATTAATAAACAATAGAAAAAAATACATAATACATAAATATATTTTCGATTAAAAATATATTATGTATGTATATACGAGTATGTAAAAGTAAAATGTATTAACAAAAGAAATAATTGTTGAAACAAATAAAAGTGATTTCAAAACAACAGAGAAAAACAAAAGAAAAAACAAATTCATATTTTATTAAAAATATAAAATTAATAAAAATAATTTTATATTATAGAAAAGTGAAAGTGAATATTAAATATAGAAGAAATATATATAATAAACAATAAATAATAATAAATAATAATAATATATTATAAACAAAGAGTAATATATAATAACAAAAGAAAAACAAAAAAGAATTTATTAAAAAAAAAACAAACAAAAAACTATTTAATAATAAATAATATTATTTAATAATTATAGTTTATTTAATATACATTCATATATATATATTATATAAATTATTTAATCATGAAATTAAAATTTTTATTATTAATATTTTTAGTATATACTTTTGGTTCATTTTCATTTAATTTTGAAATTTATAATTTTATATTATTATTTTGTAATATTTTTACAAATTTATTAAAACCATCTGATTCAATATCATCATCATCATCTACATCTGGAAATTATTATCATCAACAAAATTTAAGAAGACAACAACAACAACAACATTATCATCAAAATAATTTTGATACAAAATCAAATTTATATGATAATAATATTTATTGTCAAGAATTATCTAGAGCATCATTTAAAAATACAATTGATATTTATTTTGGAAAATTTTCATATAATATTATAATGGATAATCGTATTAATATTAATATATCATATGATTCAAAATATTTAAATCAGAATCGTGATTGGAGAAATTATTTTAATAGATTATTTAGTTAAAAATAAAAATTAATTAATATTGATTTACAAAAATATTTATTAAAATTAAATATAAATTAAAATAAAAAAAATAATTATAATTAATAATGATAAAGAAAATTAAAAATTCCAATTTGTAATTATATATAGCACATATACTTAATTAAATATAAAAGAATTAACTATAATTATTAAATATTTTAAATAATTTTAATGTAAATTTTTTTTACATTTATTTAATAAACAAAAAATTTATATTATATTATGTGTATATATAGATTATGTAAAATAATAAAGAGAATTTAATTCATATTACCTCTGTTCATCGCCTGCTCTTCCCATCTTCTAAAGCCCCTTCAAATGCAAAAATAGTTTTTTATTAAAATAAAAATATTAATGTTAATATTGTATATATCAAAATAAAGAAATAATTAATAATTTTTCAAATAAACAACAATATTAAAATAAAAAAAAATTAATTTATTTTCTTCATTCTAAAATTAATAAACAATTTACATATATATAGGCTTTATTGTTTTTTATTCTCACGGTAATTTTAATTTCTTAAATTTTTTTCTTCTCAGTTTTTTGCTTCATTTTTGATTCTTCTGTTTTTTTTTTGGTTATAATGTAGTCCCAGGTCCGAAAAATGGGTCAAATCCTTTGTATTGATTTGTGCAATTTAGATAATATATATATTATGTATATGTACATATCTATACTAATATAAATATGTATGTGTATGAATGTAGGTAATATATAAATCTAGGTTTGTTTTTTTTTTTGTAATAACACTACGTATGTATTAAAAAGTTTTGAATAAGTTTGCTTTATATATTCATATAAATATATTTTATGTAATTCTACAAATGTGAATGTGTGTATGTGTACGTAAAATTATTATTCTTTAGACATTTTATACTAAATACTTAATATAATTATACTTTATGTAATATAATGTATGTAGGTTTATATAAAAAACAATTAATAATAATGAAAACAAATATAATTAAAAATATAAAAAATTAATTTAAAATAATTTGTTTTTTTTGCTGAACTATTAAATATATATTAGGGGAGATTCCTACATGATTGACTAGTAAATTAACTCTGTCATGAGGAAACAGTGTCAAATTTTCTTATCATACAATTTACATACTTTTTCACTATACATTTACTTTTTTACAGATTTCAGAGATACTGAATGAATTTAATTAATGTCAATATTTTTATTGTTATTTACATAAGGAAGGGGATTGCGATATTTTGGGCCATATCACATTATAAACAAACTAAAAATAAAATTAGGTCAAATCAATATTACTTGGAAAGAAGTTCTTTGCCCTTTCGCAAATGGAAAATACTGATTTTTAATTACTCTCATTCGTATACCGAAATATTGTAAATAATTGCAAATATGAGGCAAAAAAAAAATCCAAAGAAGCATTAATATAATGGTCAAATTGAAGGGTTAATTACATGATTTAAGAAAAATAATTATATTATCTTTTATTTGTCTACATTTATAGAAATTTTAAAAAAGTGTACAGTTTCGGCAATAAATGGTGTCGATAATTCGGTCTTTAGAAATTTCGAGAAGTAATAAATTACGAGGGGAATGGAGGTGGAAAATAATTTTCTTTTAACGAAATAAACTATTTATTAATATCTAAAATCTGCTAAAGAAGCTGGTCCACTATATCTACTCTTTACTATTAAGATAAGTGGATGTCGTGGACGGTAACTAATCACTACCGTTTCAAAATTTGTTTTGGAAAAGAGCTTAAAATGAAAATACTAGGTTTAGTTAACTGCAGGCTTTTCCTTTTTTTTAAATTATAGCATTTTATTTATTTATTAAATTTTTATTACTTGTTTTCTGTTATATTGTTATGTCTCATTTTTATTTTGATCCAAAAAATTAAAAAGAAATTAATTTGACATATAACTTCATAAACATTTAAGATAAATGGTAAAAGTGAGTAATTCATAATTCGGTTAAGATATGTACATCAGGTACCTCATGTTTTTATCAAATCCTATACAAATTTCGATATGTAATTACGACCAACCACTTCTAACTAAAACTTAAAAATATTTCCTAAAATATTTCTAAAAAATTGATAATATTTCTTTGAGTCTTCTTTAAAATTAAGAGTGACATTGCCAGTGGACTTATTTTCGGCAGTGAGATCTCGCTTAAATATTTAAAATTATTATTGTAGACACACCAATATCTTTGCCCCATGTCTATGAAATTTTGTATCATTAAAATTTATTAAAATCAAATTTGTTTTCTTAGGTTTAATGATAATATCGCGCTCATCGCAATAAGTGTGAACTGTGAATTCTTCTATTTGATCTTGTATTTTGTTTATTTTTCTTATATTTGGTAATATTAAAAAAAAAAAAACCGAATACTTTAATTGAAAATGTTATATATACGTAGAACAATATTGTGGAATTAAATTCATCTATATTACAAAATTAATTAATATTGTTTTGTATTGATTTAAATTGTATTTAATTTATATTATATATGTATATGTTGTGCGTATGTAAATAAAAATAACCATATTTAATTACAGAAAATTTATACGGATATATTCTCTTCTGATTCTATATGAAAATTATACACTCTTACTTAGGCGTTCAGTATAAAAATATTACAATTTTCGGCATTTGAGATTTAAGGAATCAAAAAGTTTATTTGGACAAAAAAAAAAGAAATATTTGTTGAGTATGTTTTAGTTTTTAATGTGGGGAAAATTAAAACGAGGTCAATTTTTACACCACACTTACACGAATTTGTATCTTTTCATTCTATTTTTGTGTATAATAACTTTTGTAGACTTGTATTTGTGGTAACGATTTTGTGCGACATTATTTTTTTTTCTGTTATATACCTACTGTCAGTCTATAAGAAAATATAATATAGAATAACGCTCAACAGATAAGAATATTAAAAATATGAGTAATGTCATCGAACGGCAATCATTTCTGGGTTATTATTCCAAGTTGAGTATGTGAAGTAAAAATAATCCGAAATTTTTAAATTTTACATATTTTTTTTTTATTGTATTCTTATGTCATAAACAATATTATATTGTATATTATCGTGATGTATGTACAGATGTACAAAAATTATATTATTGTGTTTAATGAAATTGAGAAAGTTTTGAAAAAATTAAACCGGTATACATAAATTGTAGTAAAAGTTCAGAAATTTTCAATGGAATTAATTAAATACTAATAAAAATTAATGAAAATTGATTTTAAATTTTATTTTTCATGTTATAAAATTTTTGCAAATTTAATATAATTGTATGTATGTGCACGAAAAATTTATTGAAATAAAAAATTCAGATAGTTATGTGCTCCTGAACTGAAGAGCAAAAAAATATATATATACATATATGTATGTACTAATATGTACAGGCACTGAAACTGAATATACATAATTTGTAATATTGTGTGATTATAGTGTGGACAGTTATACATAAAATAGATTTTTATATGTAGTGATTAAATTTGATATACGTATATGAAATTTTGCAATTTGTTTGTATAAATATGTGGAAAAAATTTAAAAAATATTATAAATTATTATTCAAAAAGAAAGAAGAACATTTTAAAATTCGAACAAAACTTTAAGATTCAAATGCAAGCACAAAATAAAGGTTCTAATAAAATATTCTAAGTTTCAATTTTGACATTTTTATATTCATATTTTACCCATAAATAGTATTATTTTTTTTTTAAATAGAAAGCATTACACATTTATATACATACATACATATTAAATATCAAAATTCTAGAGAAGAATTGTGTATATAATATATATGTGGCATTCATACAGCTGTCATGCATACAAAAATTCCTATTTGAAAAAAGAGAGGAAAATATACATATTATTATATGCATATACATATGTATGTAAGTACATATATGCTAAATATTGAAAATAAGGATATTTTCACTAATTAAGGGTAAGCCGGTATAGCAAAAAATTTGATGTCGAAATTCAATTTCTTTATTTTTCTCTTTATAATATTTATAATTATGTATTTCAATTTAAAAAAAAATTTGAAATTAAGATGAAAACAATATTCCCATACATAGCACAAATAATGTCAATTTATGCCTACCCTTTAAATCATTCTAGTAGTATAACACTGCAAAATACTTCAGATTAGTGAAATGCTGTTTTGTATCCTATTATACAGGAATAAAATGTAATGTAAAAATTTTAATACAAAGAATTTAGCATTTATGTAGAGTTTATTGCAAATTTAAGGGCTATATACACCTAGAGCGTATATGTGTTTTGAATGTTATATAGAACACAAACAGTAATATAGCAAAGTTTTAAACGTTTTAACAATCTATGTACGTGTACCTATTCCACTATTAAAATTATTTTTATTCATATACGAAACTATTTCAAGGATTGCATACATTTAGGAATAACGATTTTTGCAATCTTTGACTTAAAGCAAAAAAAAAATTTAAAAAGGCGTTAAAATAATGCTGCATTTTAAGGGCTAATTGCATAAGTAAAGAAAAATAATTATATTTTTTAATGACATGTAATTTATAGTTGGCTTTTTGCGTTTATAGAAATTAGGAAACGCATGGGGTTTCACAAATATAAGGTGCCAGAAATTGAAATTCCGGGACCTGAAAGGTCAAGAAGAAAAGCGACATTCAAAATTTGAAAAAAAAACGCGTTTTAGATAACTGTAAATTTTAGCGGCCACCTTGTTTTCACAAAGCTCGAATATGGCATGCTGCGGTAGAAGAAGCAATCCATTGTTCTCCTGCGTTTGCAAAATTTAAAAAATACTTATAGTTTCACTGCAATAAATAGCTAAAAACATGGCCTTTTTAGGGTTTTTGGCGTGGGGAATGACTTTTAGAGTTTTGGGGGGGGGGGAGGATAGGAAAAAATTTTCTTCTACGGAAATAAGTTCTAGTAATGATCTATGAACTGATGGACACGGTGAAACTAATAATCATTTTTTTTCAGTGTGAATTGAAAGTTCAAAACCAAATACAATGCATATACTGTTTTAGAATTAATAAATGATTTTGACTTTTGCGACCAAAATCCAAAATTTAATAATAAAAAGTTTAGTTAATCTAAATTAACAAAAATTTTTATTCTCTTTATTTTAGTTTGAAATTTATTGACTATATTCGATTGGTTTATTTATTTTTTAAAGAGTGTCTTTGAACATTTTGTTATTCTATATGTATATTTATAATGACTTATTGTAAACAGTTCTGCTAACGTCAATTTTATGACGTTGTCAAGTGATGTCAATTATTAGTATACTCTACTTAATACAAGTTTTTTTTTGCCAGTTATTTGTTTTTTGTTTCTTTTAGTTATTGTTTTAGAGGCCCGGTTTTACAAAACATAAGTTGTTTTTTTTTTTTATCATTTAATTAATTTAATATAAAAACTTTGACATATTTATTTACGTAAAATTATTGTTAAATATTTTTTCATGTACGTACAATTTTAAATATAAACATATACATATACATATATATGTATAATTGAATACATAAATATTCCTATATATCTACATATATACCTGCGTACATATGACATCTTGCAATAATATGAACAAGTGTATGAATGGCGTTTGTTGGACTACTTTTAAATAATTTTTCTATTAATTCTTTGTTTTCATTGTGAAGGTTTATTTGAAGAGTAAATTTGTGTAAATCAATAAAAATCTTAAAAATTAGTTTTTTTTTGTCAAAATAGCAGTTAAGAAAACGATGTCACCTGCTTTTTAGAATAACAATTTTGATCAACAATACTATTAATAATTGAGAATTTTAATAGCACTTAAAATTAAAAAAAAGTTGAAAGAGCTGCATTTGTTTGAGTTATGAATTTTTTTTTTCTCAAAACCATTTTTTTGATAGATCTCCAGAACAGAAAGAGATACTTTTAAGTTTTGATGGTTTAATAGAAGTTTAACTAACGGGAAAAAAATTTGTGTAAAAGTTTTTTGAAATTTTAAAAATGTTTAATCCCTATTTTATCGGGAAAAAATCCCGAAAACTCATCGGGGTAAAAAATTGAAAAGTGGGAAAATTTGAATTTTTCTGGAACTGAAATGCCGTGATTTCAAGCTGTTTTATATATCTTTCAAAAAGTGTTTATTTGAAGCTACTACCTTTTTCGAAGCGGAAGCTTTTGGCAAGAAAACTTTGGAAAATAAAAATTTTCCAAGTGAAAATTCATTAAAATATTTAAAATATTATTTCGAAAACTGTTGAGATTAATTCACCTAGTTCCAAACAAAAATTTTACCCATTTTTGTTTCTCTGAACAATAATATATTCATATTTCACATACTTCTCTTAATTTAGAGTCGTATCCTAAAATTATGCAATTTTAGAACATGTTATACTCAAGAGAATAATGTGCAAATTAAAAATATAATTTTTCAAGGAAATATTCTACTTTACGAACCCTTGATTTTATCTGTTGTTTATGTTGTGAAAGTCTCAATGCACTTTTTTAAAATACTCACTTTCACTTTTGTTTTTTTTTTCGTTTTATGCTCCTAATTAATTATAAATTTTTAATAATATTATATGGATTTTTTAATATTATTATCATTTTGAAACTTGATATGAGCAAATTACTGAAATATAACATATAAGATTATATTAGTAAAAAAAAAAGAATAAAAAAAAGGACCTACTTAAAATAGAAATCGAGTAACAGGTGCACTTTTTTTTCTATATACATACATATATATTTTTAATATAATCGAAAAATAAAATAAAAACAGAAGTAGAAAGAAAAAAATCGACATTAATAAAATCGTATCGATCGATTTTAATAATTTTGTTGTTTTTTTTTTTTTTATATTTCTATTCTATAATTTCATATTAAATTTTTCCAATGCTAAATTTATATGGCTAGATAGTGTGTGTATTCTAAAATATAATTATTGAGAGAAAAATTTTGAGTATTAAAAAGTATTGTGTGTACATGTATACGATGATGTGGAGTGGAGTGGAATGTAAACTTAGTTATATTATATATGAAAACATATCCACATAATGTATACGCATATTATATATTCACATATTATATATATACGTAAAAACGTAACGTAACGCAGCGACATAAAAAATATAACGTAATATTAAAAATTTACCCCATAAACATTTTGCCCTTTTTTTTTTTGTTTTGCCCCATATAATTTTAGTCTCGTCTATTATTTTCCAAAATGAAATTTTATGAGAGAAAAAAAGCAAATATAATAAGAGCAATAACAGAAATATTATAAAGAAAAAACAAAAATTATTTATATTAGAGTGATTGTTACTTAGTATGGTGCTCTTCTAGACAAGATTCTGCGTATATTCTCCATTTCCATTTTTTTTTTTTTTTGTTTTCTCATAATTTTTGATTTTATTTTTGTTTTTAGTTTTATTATGAAAATTTTTGGTCTCTTGTCTCTTTGTGTGATTCTGCTAGTCTGCTGTGTGCGGAGAACTCTCTTTTATAATTTTAATATACATATTAATGTGTGATTGTCTGTTTGTGTGAGTGATTCTTGAGTACATACATCTATTAAAGAAAAAGCAATTTCTCTATATTAAAAATTATTATTTTTCTCTCTTATTGTTTTTTTTTTCCTGTTTTCTCTTTTTTTCTTTTTTTTTCCATTTAATTTCATTTTCCTTATTTTATCATTTATAAAATTCAGTAGAACGAACATACCTAAAAGAGGGATTAAAAAGAAAAGAAAAGATTTTTTTTTTTATTTTATGAAAAAAAAAATTCAAGAAAAAGAAAATATTAAATTAAAATTGTAATAAAATATTAAAATATAGCAAAAAAATTATAGTTTAAGTATAAAATAAAATTCGAGTTATGAAAAGTTAAAGAAAAAGAATTTTTTTAATTGTTGGTATTAATCAAGAAAAAAAAAAAGAGACACAGATACAGAAGAAAAGACAAAAAAAAAATTCAAAAAAATT